AGTTAACGTCATGAACTCACGCGAACCCGGGCGTTGGGTTCGCATTACGAACCCACGCGAACCTAGGCGCTAGGTTTGTGATGCGAACCCAGGCACTGGGTTCGTGACACAAACCCAGGCACTCGGTTAGCATCACAAACCCATGTGAACCTAGACGTTGGGTTTGCGTCACGAACCCACGTGAACCCAGGTGCTGGGTTTCCCATCACGAACCTAAGCAAACCCAACGTGAACCCAACGCCGGGTTTGCAAAGATCCTAGGGAGATCTGAAAGGGAAAAAAAAGGGCTATTTATTGAATTTAGCCATATGACTTCAATCACACAACTTCAGAAGAACAAAAACATAAGCCAGACGCCAAAGCCCCAAGCCCCGAATGACCAACAGGTAATGAGAGTCAAATTAATCGATAATTGACTTGAAGATAAAGCTTGAGCTACCCTAGTTGAAGATATAGAAGAGGTGCATATTGATGACAGAGATCCAACTAGGAAAACTCATATTGGGACCAAGTTGAGTCAAAGGAAAAGAGAAGAGTTTATCTCTTTCCTATAAGCTAACAAAGATGTCTTCACATGGACCTTAGTAGATATGCCAAGAATCCTGACATCAATGGCTATGCATAAATTGAGTACTATTCCCTTGAAAAAGCCAATGGCTCAAAAAAGGCATCTCTTTGGGGGAGAGAGGCATTAGGTAATCAAGGATGAGGTGGAGAAGCTCTTGCGAGCTAGGTTTATCAGAAGGGTTGATAATTATGAATGGGTTGCCAACCTTGATTTGGTTAAGAAGGCTAATAGTAAAGGATGTGCATTGATTACACTAATCTTAATCAAACCTACTCTAAAGACTATTATTCGATGCCTAATATAGACAAGTTAGTTGAAGTAGCTTCAGAAGTGAGAGGTTAAGTCTCTTAGATGCATATTCGGGCTATCATGAAGTTCCCATGGCTTTTGAGGTTTTAGATAAGACCTCCTTTTATGTCAAAGATGAAATTTACTACTATTTGATGATACCTTTTGGCTTGAAAAATGCTAGTGCAATAGAAGATGGTGACCATCTTATTTTAAGCTCGGATTGACAGAAACCTAGAAGTGTATGTTGATGACATTGTAATAAAAAGCGTGAAAGTTGAAGATCATTTAGCTAACCTTGAGGAAACATTCAACAATTTGAAGAAGAATAGAATGAGACTAAATCCTGCCAAGTCCATCTTCGGTGTAGAGTTAAATAAATCCTTGGGTTTATACCATCCAATAGTCGTCCTCACAAATCAACCCTTCAAACAAATCCTACAAAAACTCGAGCGTTCAAGCTAGTTAATTAAATGGATAGTTGAATTGAGAGAATTTGAAATAACATTCCAAATCAATCAATTGAAGAGAGAAAGAGGAATTAGCTAAAGTGGATGGTTGAATAAGGCAATAGCTAAAATCAATCAATTGAAGAGAGAAAGAGGAAAGGGTGTTTTATTCTAAGTGTGCTATTCCACCAACTCAACATGATGCAGTTTCAAACTTTGTGAAAAGGCTTTCAAGGATGATAAGAGGCTATTATGAATGTGAGCTTCAAACAATAGAGTATTGGAAAAATCAAGAGAAATGAGAATTTATGATTGTTACTTATTAGTAGTTATAATTAAAATTTGAAATAAAGGAATAAAGTTCGAGATCAAATTTCTCCTTTTCTTGAATTCTATTTGTTGAGAAAGAAGTGCTGGCTCAATGCACTCCAAGAGAAGGGGTGAATTGGAGTTCAAAAATTTTCATCTCTTTGCAACCACCAAACAAAAATCAAAGAGAGAGTAGGGAAGAAGAGCTTGCACAATGATTTTATAAAGGTTTAGTCTAATCACTTGGAACCTAGTCCTCTACCTTGACTTCACTCACCAAGGATTTCCTCCACACTCTCCACTAATAAAATCAAGGGTGGCTTAAAGGAGCCACTCAATCCTTTTACAAGAAAAAGGGTGTTTCTCTCAAATCTCACCCCTTTACAAGATAAACCCCAAGAATTCTCTCTACAAATCACTCTTGAAGGATATAATCACACCCCCAAGATAACGCGCAAGTAGAACAAGAGGAGGATTACAAGTAAAGATCTCTTTAAGATTAAAAACTCAAGTTAAAGCACAAGTTGGTAAGTAGAGATATTCAATACAATGCTCCCTAAACTTGTTCTAGATCTTCTACCAACTATATTTATAACCTCATGGTCGAAAATAGCCGTTACTAGCCGTTGGGGTCATTAAATGCTCTACAAATCGCATAATTTTGAGTTGTAGATTTGTTAGTACAATTGGCATAAAGTTTTAAAGCTAGCTCCACAACCAGCTTAAAAACTCTGCAATTGGCTTTGTGGATTCCTGCACTTTTTGTTTTCTCTGTAGAGCTAGCTTACATTCCTTGAGTCGACTTTGCGGGTTTCTTGCACTTTCAGTTTTCTTGAACAGCCGACTACAAACTGTAAAGCTGGCTTTGGGATTCTAACTTTAAAGACATTAAATAATCTTCAAATAACTCAACCATTGTGCATTAAATATGCCATCACAACTAGCTGCAAAGTCAAAGCCAGCTTTGCGTCTGTTTTCCGCGCACGCCAAACAACGGACTTGAAATTTTCACCCGTAGAGCCGACTGCAGCTCTTAGAGTCGGCACTCTACATTTCGCTTTCACCAGAGCTGATAACTGGCTGCAGGTTTCAAGAGCCAGCTCTCTGCACATTTTTCAAGCCTTTTGGTCCATTTTTAGTGCAATCCAAGTTTACTTACTTTGCAATCTTTTAGAAATTTAACTACACACTTAAAAGAATCAATTAGTCACTCAAATGTGTTTTGAAATTATCAAAATCATAGGTACAACAAGAAGCAAGTTCTCGATCATAAAAAAAAAAGCAAAAAAGAAGAAAAGATATGAAGGAGGTAACCTCATTTTTCTCTTTTAGTTTTTCAAAAAAAAAAAAAAGGATCAACAAAAAAATAAAAAAAGGAAAAAAAGGATCATGAAGGAGGCAATCTCCTTGTGTTGTAGGCTTGCATGACAATTATTTGGTCTAGAGCTAGAGCAGTATTAGTAAGGCTAGATGGCTACTGAAGTGAACATGCCTTTAAGTTCAATTTTGATGCGACTAATAACATGGCCGAATATGAAGCTTTGCTTCTCAATTTGTAGTTGGCATTGGAGTTGAAAGTCACAATAATATAGATCTACAGTGACTTTTAGCTCGTGGTTAATCAGGTTAACTCCATTTGCAAGGTAATCGATCCCATCTTGATGAAATATGTAGCCCTGGTGGTGGAACTCACGTGCAAATTTGAGAAATTTTGTCTGAGCAAAATATCGCGAGCTGAGAATGAGCAAGCATATTCACTCTATAAGTTTGCCTCTGATAGTTCCCTAGGTGCAAGATTAGGTTTTGTTAAGGTTCTAGATGAGCCTAGCTTCCAAAAACCAAGGATGATGGAGATTAGCACAGGTCCAAATACATCGAGATGGACAGACCCAATTATGTCCTTCTTACGAGATGGTTCAGTTCCTAAAGATAAACAAGAAGAAATGAGATTGAGAAAGAAAGCGTCTCGGTATGCTTTAATTGATGGAATCCTATATAAAAGGTCTTTCTTGCTTCCTCTTCTTCAATGTTTGAGCCCTTATGAAGTTAAATATGCACTTCAAGAGGTCCATGAAGGTGTTTGCAGAAGTCATGTTGGTGCTCAAACCCTAGCTCATAAAGTCCTCAGACAATAATATTACTAGCTGAATATGCACAAGGATGCCACTGATTTCGTATAGAGGTGCCCAAAGTTCTAATTCTTTGCACATTTAACTCACCAACCAGCTGAGGAACTTACAAACCTGGTGGCATCGTGGTCATTTGCTCAGTGGGGTCTTGATCTCTTAGGTCCATTTGTGACATGAGTTTAGAGGAGTAACCCATTTAGTAGTTGGAGTTGATTACTTCACGAAATGGGTTGAAATTCGGCCATTATCCAGCTTTACCTCCAAAAATGTTGAAGACTTTGTTTTCAGTTCAATCATCTACAGATACGGGATTTCAAATCAATTTATGGCTGATAACGGAACTCAATTCAACTACTCCTCATTTAAAGACTTCTACTCCAGTTATGGAATCAAATTACAATTTACCTCGGTGTACCACCTAGAGTCCAATGGTATGGTGGAATTTATCAATAAAGCTATTTTGGAAGGAATAAAATCGAGGTTGGAGCAGCATAAGGCCAGGTGGGTAGACAAGCTCAACAACGTGCTCTGGGCATATAGAACTACAAGCCAAATTGCCACTGGTACTATTTTCTATCTCTATTTGCTCTCTAATTACTTTATTTCTTTTCCTGTTGCCCCATTTTAGGTCAAATATATATATAACATATAAAGCATATACTAAAACTATAACTTAATAAAATAGGTGAAACACCATACCAGTTGGCATTTGGTATCGAAGCAGTCATTCCTGTTGAAATAGGAGTCCCAAGCTTCGAGTCACCCATTTCGATGAAGGACGAAATGGACAATTGCTTCGAGAGAACCTTGATCTGCTTGACGAAGTCAGAGAGGAAGCACGACTTCAAACTTTGGAGATTAGCCAACTTTTACAACAAACGGGTTCGTCCTCGAACATTTAGAGTTGGCGACCTTGTTCTAAGGAAAGCTAGTCTAATGGGATTTGAAACTCATTTTGGCAAATTAGGCCCAAATTGGGAAAGCCCTTATACAATAGTCAAAGTGCCGCAACCAGTTGCCTATATTCTTCAAAACATTGAAGGGAAAAGGGTTCCTAGAGTTTGAAATGTGAACAATCTGAAAAATTTTTACCCTTAATTCAATTCCCCTAATGAACTTTATCTTATTTTATTGTTGATTCCTCTATCTTAGATCAATTTGTCATTCAGTTATTTAGAACTTTTGCCCGAGGTCAATTTGTTATCATTTAGCCCTTTGGAACTTTTGTTCGAGCTCAATTTGTTAATTCACTTCATTCCTTGAATTTGAATTTTATTAATCGATTTTACCTCATATTTGAGGTGATTTCCTTTCAATTTCTACTTGAAGCATACACAACAAAAATACATAAATGTTGAAAACAAATCTTAAATATATAAATAAATTGTTAACAAATGTTACCAAAACATCTTAAACAAAACAAACACACAGTTTAGAATTTAGCACAAGAAGGAAGAAATTTAAAAAATGAAGCATGCTACTGGGCAGGAGAAGGTGGCTGGTCCACTTCTGGGGGAGGTTGTTGATCAACCTCTTCTCAGGTTCGTTCTCTGCAACTACAGCACCTTCAGCCTCAACACTTCTGGCTTTTGGTTCTCTCTTTTCAACTGCAACAAACTTAAAGTCAAAGTTAGGAGGAACGATGGTACGACCTTCACTGTCATGGTCCCATTTCAATTGGACTTCAAGACAAAAGTCAGCAATCATACTCTCTCCATCTTCTTCCATTCCTTCTTCTTGCTCCCCGAAGGTGATGCCAGTCACATCCAATTCAGGACGTTGAGCCTTCACCTTCTTTTTGTAATCTAAGAACGCCAAAATAGCTATAGGAAGCCGGTAGAGGTTCATGATGTTGTCAAAGGTGCTGGATTTTAGAAACTAAGCAATGTGGCCCTCCATCTCATTGTGAACCATTGTATTGACGTTCTTCTTCAGCTGGGAAGCAATCTTCTTCATTCGGGTAGCAATCTTCTTCATCCGGGTAGTAGTCTTCTTCATCCCCCAATCTCATTCTCCAACGCTTCTATCTTCACTTCACAGATTCTTCTTTTCCTTTCCTCAAATGAGAGCTTCGTCTTCAATGCATCATTCTCTTCTTGATGTCGTGTAAGTTTTGGCATAACCTTTACCAAATCCTTTTCTACCTCTTCCTTCTTCTTCCCTAGTTCCTCCTTCTCTTTCACAAAAACGTTACACTCCTTAAGAGTTTCAAAAAACTCATGTGATAGAGCATTCACCAAGCTCATAGCCTGCAACACCCCAACAATCAGAATATTTAAAAAAAAAAAAGGGAGAACCAGCCATACCTCAAGGACATGCTTCACAATCCCAACCCCACCGTGGCTCAACACCTTTTCTTGAGCTCGACAACGATCCACCTCAAGGAAAGTTGAGTTTATAAACCTCTTCGCAGCTATCATACTTTTGGTGTCAAATAAACTACCTTGCTACGAAGGAGCAGGAACAAAGGACTTCCCTTTTTCATGGGTTATAACCCTAACCTCCTTGACTTTGGGATCGAGCTCAACTAGGGGTGGACGAGGTACGAACTCCACCACCTCATCCCCACTACACTCATACTCCTCCACCTTCATCCTCTTCTGAGTAGGCCCAACATCCTCACTTCCCTACTGTTTGAGCTTCGGCCTCAACCTTTCAGCAGTCGTAGCTCGAACTGAGGTATTGGAAGGTTGTCCCTCCTTTTTACCTCCTACCCCTTCTTGACTTGTAGTAACTGTTGCAAATGAAGTTTTTGACTTCTTGGGAATCGTCGCCCCCCCAATTGCAATAAGAAACTTGTCCATCTCTTTTGCAAAATAGGGAACTGTTAAAACAACAATCAGGACCCCACTGAGCAATTATACATTGCAAAATAAAGACACACCTTCACTTAAAGAGTTTGTCTCATAAAGCTCAGCCGACTCCACAGCAACTGAGCTGGTGAGATACATGATGTTTATGACATCATCCCCCTCTCTCACCAACTTCTCTATCTCCTCCTCCTCATCCTCATTTAAACTATATTAGTTTTAATTCCCCTTCTTTGCCTTCCAAGTGGACAATAATTCCACTTCGGCATCCCCCATCCCCTAGTCAATATCATCAACAAAAAAGAGTTTTTCTTTCCATCCCTTGATGGATGACGGCCTGGCATTAAACAAGTTCCTCTTTTCCTTATTGGACACTTGGAAAGTAAAATAGTACTAGCCTTTCTCCTTCATATGCCCACCCTTTATAACAAAAAAATGTTTAAACATGTTTATAGTGGGCACCCTAACTCCCTAAGCTCAGTAATACACTAAAAAACCTATTATCACCCTTATGACATTTGGGGAAAGTTGTGTTAAACCTATACTATACTCCAACAACAATCCAACCAAAAGTTCTGGGATGGGGAACCTCAGCCTTGCCAATAAGTAATGGGCATAAATCAGCATCCAATGGTCTCGAGGTGTCGAACACGCCCTCTCCTCCACCATAGTTGGCCTAATCAACATTTGCAAAGGGAGATCATACGTTTCAACTATATGTACTAGACTCTCCCTATTCGGCCATTTAGTCTCATCTCTTATCACTTCGGACACAATGTCTGCCTCCACATCATAACACCTTTCACATGCACCATCAACCTCCAAAATATTCAAAGGAACTCTTTCTCCTTTAACTCCTTCTTCACCTCCCACCTCTTCGACCGTCCTCTCTAACCCAGATGACTCAGTTCCTATGCTAACTTCCTTCACCATCCTAACTTCCTCACTCCCCCCAACACTCAATGTTTCCTCTGATGACATATCTTTCGTTTTGTAGCTTTCATTACATGGAGTAGGAGGTGGGATGTAATCAGGATCTTCAATAAACTCTAATTCACGCTCTATGTCACTCTCACTCCTAAACCTAACCTCTTTCAGAGGACTTAGATCTAAATCAAAGAAGGTGAGAGGAGAATCAAATTCTTCACTAGAATAAAAATCACCAAAGAACATTAAATCACTTGATCTCGGTGGTGTAGAACTTAGTTGTATTTCACTCTGTGTAGAAGTCTGGTCGTACTAACTCTGTTAAAATTTTAGCAAAATTTAAGTAGCAAATACGGCAAAGGTAATAAAAATTTACATAAGTATGGGTATATATACCAGTACGAATTTGCGTTTTAACAGTTACGATTAGTTTTATCTAACGTTCATAATTACACCGATTCAAATTCGATGGTTAACTCCTAATGGACTCTTTTGAATTCAACAATTCCTTTTCGATTACGTCTGTTGAGGTATTTCGGTTACTTTTTGCAGCTCATATTTATTATACATGTCTTTTAAAAGACAGTTGTCATATCACGTGCTGACTCCATGTCAGGCTTCTTCCACGGGCCTATGTAAGCCTTGCCCAAACCTTTCCTATTCATACAAATGTCTTTCATTATTACAAAGTATTTAACCTCTGTGACCATGAGTCACTAATTTTACTTCTACTACGGCCTTAGTGACCATGAGTCACTAATTTTACTTTGGCTACAGCCTCAATCACCATGAGTTACTAATTTTACTTCGGCTATGACTTTAGTGACCACAAGTCACTAATTTTACTACAACTACGGCCTCAGTGACTATGAGTCACTAATTTCACTTCGGCTATGGCCTCAGTGACCACAAGTCATGAATTTTACTTCGGCTACGGCCTCTGTGACCATGAGTCACTAATTTTACTTCGACTACGGCCTCAGTGATCTCGAGTCACCAATTTCACTTCGACTACAGCTTTAGTGACCACGAGCCACCAATTGTACTTCAACTTCGGCCTTACTAATTTTACTTCGACTACGGCCTCAGTGATCTCGAGTCACCAATTTCACTTTGACTTCAGCTTTAGTGACCACGAGCCACCAATTGTACTTCAGCTTCGGCCTTAGTAACCTCGAATCACCAATTGTACCTCAGTTACTACCTCAGTGACCTCAAGTCACAAATTTTATTCTGATTTCGACCATAGTGATCTCGCATCACCAATTTTACTTTGATCATGACCATAATGTAACGATCACTACAGTCAAATCATATACTGCATAGATTTGTACTTCTCTCATCATATTTCATTATGCACCTCTCCATGATTATACATAACCCTTACCACCTCAAGCTACATCATTCACAAGTGAATGACTTCGAGGGGGAAATAGTGTAAGGATAGGTCCGAGGTTAAGGACCTCGGACGTACTGCTACATTTCCTTAATAACCAAAATAACTCGTAAGTTCAGTTCTTCTCGATTATACAGTTGCACGATAGCTACAATAGGCATGTTTGTGCCCAATCCTTTATTCCCAAGATCATTGCCTGAATGCACACATCAGGCTCCAATTATCTCGTTAAGTAGATCACATGGATACCTCATTAAGGCCTATAAATACCCCTAGGGCCACCTCAAAAAGGTAATTGAAACCGACCTAAAACTTTTTTTTTCCACAATTCTTAAAGATAGACTAGACTATTGCTTACTTTAGCATTGGAGTGTCTACCCTGATGATCCGCCTTAGGGCTTTGCAGGTCATCCGAAGAGAAGACTTGGAGTGGAATGAGTTACTTGGCTTGTTGCAATTACAAACATAAACATCATAAAAACATATAAACAGATATAGGAAGACAAAAGAAACAAGCACAACGAAGCTTTCTGGGTAACATATCGAAGTCCGATTCGGGAAATCCCACCCATGGGATCAAGCCCAGATCATCCCCTTCATTGCCTCCCAAAAAGACTCCTCTGTTGTAGGAAAATACCTAAGGCGAACCCAGAAAATGTTTCCTTTTTTATTTTTAAGCCGTTGTTGCACTCTCCCAAATCTTCACTCTTGAACCAGCCTTTCAACACCAGCGATGGAGGCTGAGCTCTCGACAACCAACCTCAAAAAAAAAAAAAAAAGCAGCCCTCCCCTCTTCAAAGTCTCCCTCTAATGCTCTCAAGAACCAGACAGAGACTCCTAAAATGAAACCCAAAAATCATCCAAAAAATCAAAATCAACCCCTTCTACTCTATTTTTACTCTCTATATATACCCCAAATAAAAAATTAATAATAATAAGACACTCAATCTGCAGAGAGCCCTTCGATCTTCCACTTTTTTTTTTTTTTTCACCGTTGATCCTCCAAGTACCTAAGACAGCTGTTGATTTCTGTAGGTTGGAAAGCAAAGGACCGAAAGCTTTTCTTATCTGAAGTGTGGGCCATCTTGCTGAAGAATATGATAAGGCGTGAAGGGGAATGGATAACCAGAGAAGGTGCAGACCGATTGCAGAGTCGGGCTGCAGCAAGCAGCAGTGTAAAGGCGCAGGAGCAGGGGGGGCGCAGAGCAAGGTCAGGCGCAGGAGCAAGGGGTCATAGAGGAACGGTGCAGTAAAAGGGGGGCGAGACTTTCTATTTTTGTCTTCTGTTCTGTCGGTCCTCTCCCCTTCTTCCTACTGCATTTCCCATTTTAAAAGAGAGAGAAGACTAGGTTTTTTTGTTGGGTTTGGACTAAAATTGGGTTTGGTTTTTTTTTTTTTTTTTTTTTTTTTTGGGTTTGAGTATTTATGGATCTTGGTTTTGGGTTTTGGATTTGGTTTTTTGGGTAGTTGATGGGCTTTGGGTTTTTGATTTTGATTTTGGGTTTGAGGCTTAAAATTGAAATGGGTTGGTGTTGGATTGGGTTTGGTTTTAATAGGCTTAATATTGGGTATGAGCTGGACTTGTAAATTCGTCTTGATGAACTTCACCCCTCCAACTTTTGATTTTTTCAATTGAAATCCTCGTCTTAATTTCCTTCATCTCCTTTTTCCAATCCCCTTCGCAAAATCCCGTTCTGCTCATAAACCTAACAAGGAAAGTAAAGACAAAACATATTAGTTAAAATAAAAATCAAGATAAAAATAAAATAAAACTAAAATAAAATTCTATAAAAAATTTTGTGTTATGGCAGGTACAAATATCCAATAAAGATCAAATTCAACTGCTCATGATAAATGTACATAAGAACCCCGCTTATTGCATGGAGATCGAGCAAGAAATAAATGGTCAGCCTTGGTATTATGACATTAAACAATACATTTTGCATAAGTTCTACTCAATTTTTCTTACTTAGCTATTAGCCAATATCCTAAAAAATCATAAATTCTTCTTGGTTTATCCTTAAATGTACTCGGGTTTGGACAGATCATGGCATCAGTATGAAGAAATTTTCAAATTTAAAGGCATCATCAAGAATCACTATCATCATCAATAATCACTGGTTAAAAGAAGGAAGATTTTGAAATTCATTCAAATTTAGAAGCCTAGATCGCTATAAGGTATGATATTGGCTTGAAAGAGGGGAGACGTATGAAGAATTAAGTTTTTGGAAATCCAGTTTCAAGTATGATTAGATTATTATCTATAATTTAGGGATTTAGGGATTAGGTTTAGAATTAGTGTGAAGAGTTTGGGTTCTACATCTTTCATGTATAAAAAGGGGTCTCATGGTAAAGAGGAAAAGGAGAGGACAAAATTCTGGAAGAATTTGAGCAAAAATTGAGAGTCAATGAAGACGATGTGAGACAAAGAGGAAAGAAAGGTGGAAACTTGTATTCAAAATTTTCAAAATAATAAACTTTGAATTTTCAACTTTCTTATAGGTGTGCACGCTTTTAAATTTTTTGTTCTATATGCATGTTCTATTTTGCTTTAGATTAATCATGGAATTGTTGGCTTGAGCCTATTATTGATCTATGGATTTTCTATTATTAAGAGTGATGTATTTGAATTTACTCTATCATTTCTGTGACTTATCTTGATTAAAAATAATTAGCATGAGAAATTTATATGAGTTTTATCCATTAAAAAATTATGATTGATTGTAATTCAATTTTGTTCTATTTGATTGTGGATTAATGAAACTTAGATAAAGTGCAAAATAAAATGAAAATAAGTTGTCTCATGTAGGGATTTCTGATAACTTAGACTCAATTACTAAGTCTTTTTTGTTTGTTTACTAGTCCCTTTTGGTTCTAATTTCTATATTTTCTTTTCATGAAAATTAGTTTGGCATCTTATTCTTAGGTGACTTTAGCATTTAATTATGGTATATGTAGGTAATTTTGGGTTATTGGTTCTAAGAGGGGACATTAGGTAATTTACAAAAAAAAAAACATAACTTAGATTATTTCAAACAAAGAATCATGTATTTTTATTCATTCTAAGGTTATTTTTTTCCCTTTATTTTCTTTTGTTTAGCTAATTAGTTAATGTGAATTTGTGTTTTTTTGAAAAAATATATCAATTGAATTACCTTAAAATTGAAGTCTGTGGTAACTATATTTATAGGGAAGACTCCAATAAATCTCTATGTAGAATTTGGTGATCTATGCCACCTTATTTGGATAAATGGCGACTCCCATTCACTTAACAACTCTTTGGCCAAGATCCACAAGCTCTCAAATACTTATACTCAAGTTATCCACACTAATATAATAGACTCACTCATAATTCCCCACCAATGTGGGATTTAAGGCAGATAATCTCCCTATTATTATACCTTAAGTGATGTAGAATCCACACTACCATCAACCATGATGGTCACATAGGCCCATACCTACAAAAGGTGACCACTCTTATACCAATTGAAATGATAATGATCTAGGCCAAAGCCCACCACAGGCCTAATAACTGTTCAGGCCAAGGTTCATGAGCCCTTAGAAGTCTAAATTCAAGTTGTTAGTAATGATTAATCTCTACACTTATATACTAGACTCACTCACAATTCCCCATCGATATGAGAGGTTGGTCTCCACACTTATACACCAAACTCACTCACAATTCCCCACTAATGTGTGATTTGAGGCATCACACATTCTATGCATGTTTTTGTGTGTTGACACTAGAAAGTGGTCGACAAGATTCTAGCGAGCTAGATGGGCTATGAATGATGGTGGAAACTTGTGAAACAGAGAAACATGAGACCTTAGCCAAAGATTGGAGTTGGTCTCTAACTTCACACTTTGGCACTCAACATAAATGGAGGGTTCATGGAGGAAAGAACAGAGTGTGTGTGGGAGTGGAGAAGACTAGAAATGTGTGTGTTGGAAAGTGAGTGAGTGTGCATCCATGCAAGAAAATGAGTGCAGGGGACATCCAATTATTACCTCCATGTGGTCCCCCATAGGTTGCCTCTAGGTTCCTAACCATCCAATTAGAGCACACCACCTGTGTATTCCAGAGTGTTCTCCAAGTAAGTCAATTACTTAGGATATTCTTCAAGAATTTTAGACTCAGACCAGGTTCCTTCAAACTTAGCTCATTCATTTTGCTCAAGTTATATTTTGCATATAACAATGTGAATCTGAGCATTCTTATGATTTTTTTTTTCATATTTTTTGGATAATTTTTAGGTTCAATATTGAGTTTCTTAAATTTATGTGTTTTGACCCCTTTTTTTCAAGTAATTTCTATGTAGTTTGTGTGGTGAACTCATTTCATGCATTTTCCTTGATTTATGCAAGTTTCTAGGTTTGTTTAGGCCTATCAAATTATGGAAAAAGTGACCGGTAATTGTATTTTTGATGAATATATGAACAACATGTTTGAATAAGAGCTTTGATTCGTTCAACCAGTTTAAAAGATGTTAATATTTGTTTCTGGGCCTAGATACTCAGTTTGTTAGCCTTTAACTTTGTCAAATTTTGGATTAAAATTGGACCAAGTCGAAGCCCAATCCCGTGAGACTATAAAACCCTTGACCTAAATGAATTCAAATTAGGGGTGTGCATACCCAAAACAATCCAATTAATTCATACTCAATCCAAACTACTTCAATTAAAAATAGATTAAAATTATTGTTTAATTAGATTAATTTGGATAAAAAAAAATTAAATTGGTTTAGTTTATAGTTTTACTTCATAATCATCTAATCATAATCAATATTAAAAGAATTAATCTTTTTTAAAAAGAGAATTTTTTTCAATTCTTATATTCCCACCATTTACTCATCTTAACCCTAAATAGTGTTATATGATACTTTCATCTATTATAAATTTATTTAATTTTGCTTTTGCTTTGTATGATTAAAATTTACGAAAGGGAAAACAATATAATCAAACTTTCAAAAATGTTTTTTTTTTTTTTCTCTTTAAGACAAAACTAATCAATCCCATCCAATAATAGTTGGATTGGTTTGGTTATAGTATATCAAGTGGATTGGATTGGTTTAACATTTTTTCAATCTAATTAAATTAGATTAAATAGAAAAATAGTTAAAAATGATCTATTTGAACCACGAGCACCCCTAATTCAAATGATAATAATAATAAAATAAATAATAACTCTCAATTTTGCCCAACAGTTTTGATTAGATGCAATCTGGTCCCAACCTTTTTAGGTTACACCAATTTAGTCCTACTTTCAATTTTATTCGAACCAGTACCTTTACTTTTCAATTGTTTTAGTTAGATCCTATATCATTAAATCCCCTCATTTACACTCTTGACTGTTTGGGTTTGTTACATTCAAGTCTATCTTTTAAAATGTGTTTTAAATAAGTTGAATTATTCCTTGATTTTAAAGTATACAATTGTATATTACAGAGTGGATTGTAAGGAGCACATAAGCTCTTCCTTACAATTAACCATACTCCCAAACATTAATCTCTATACGACTCATTTTAGATGACTTCTCCTACCTTATAATTTAAATGAGTGACAATTCCTATTTTCTTGAATTTTACACTCAATTAAAAAATATATTTATTATGTTGAATTTTAAGTAGTATTCAACACAAATTTACAAATGGTCTGTTTGGAAACATGATTTTGGTAGAGTGTGTTTGAATTTCAGCACTTCAAATTCAATATCATTGTTTGTTTTTATGTAATAAAGTGTAATTGAATTTAAATAAAATACATATATTTCAATCTATGTATTTAAAAGATATAAAAATCATGTATTTCAAATTCATACCTAAACCCATGAATTTCAATTTCATGGTGAATTTACTCTGCAGAGTTTTTTGAGCCCTTGTGCTCTGTTCGCCCAGCTACCGGTCGTCGCCATTACCCACACCATTACCCACCATAGTCGTCGCCAAGAAAGAACACCCGACTACATTCTTTGAAGGCAAACTCCGACAAGGAAACCAGTGGTAGTCCACAATTTTCAGTGCCATCCTCTTCCTCACCATCTTCCTCTCTGAAGGATTACTCCCACTGCTACTATTCGACATGGTTGTCGTCGTCACCGTCAGTGGACTAATTTCATGGCTGCCATTACTTCCATTACTCCCATTATTCCCTTCACCTAACAAATTACAAGCCGCCATGAAAAACCCAGAAAACCCCCAAACCCAATTACAGAACCACTGTTACTTCTTCCCTTGTTCTTCATTTCATGGATAGATTATAAAGAAAAAAGAAGAAGACAACCAAACAAATAACGTTAGCAACGTTGGGATACGATTCTTGTTGAAAACGAGCTCAAAGTCCGACGTTAAGAAAAATATAATTGTAAGGGCAGGTCCGAGGTGCCCAACCTCGGACGTACGACAGTAATTCCTTTACAACTAGAGTAAGGAGTAAATCCAGAACTTCCCGCTCAAATAGCTACATAGTCGTTACGATGGACATTCTCGCATCTAAATATATCTCAATCTCCCGGTCTCGAAATAACTGCTTGGAGATACACATCAAATCCCGAATATCTTGCTTGGCTCAATCTCCCGGTCCCAAAATAACTGCCTGGAGATACACATCGGATCCCGGATATTTTGCTTAGCATGCCGCGTGGGTCCTTCATCAGAACATATAAATACCCTTTAAGGGTCACCTCAAAAAGGTAATTGAAAACCAACCCTAAGCTCTTCTAGTCTTTGTTCTATTGGTAGCCCCGATTATTGCTGACTTAAGCATCGGAGTGTCTGCC